TGGTTTTGGGACGTTAAACCCCGCATATCAATCAATCAATCAATCAAGGCTACAGTCTGAGCATGGCTGTGACACAAGTGCTACTTAACAGAATGTTAAATGCTTGTGTTCTGTTGAAGAAGCAACTCCATGTTCCTGGCAGCGCAGGTGATGAATGACGGTGCCGTACGTATACGCAAACAATCAATCACGAAATCAAACATTCCGTCTCGTGCAGCCACGATGGCGCCACTCGCTACAGGGCCTACTACTGCGGCAAATCAGCCAGGCAAGCTCGCTACATTTTGCCTCGGAGTGCCAATCAGTTCATAAGTCAATTATTGTTCGTGCGGTTTTCTGTGGCACACATGATTTCGCAAAGCTTCGTTCGTGCACTGTGTAAAGTAACTGAAATATATCCTTTTTACACAGCGGCAAATGATCACGGCAAAGAATGACTTTATCCGGTGAAAGTGTCGTGGTCCGTATACGTCCGCTTGTCATATCTGTTGCTATACTAGCAAACCGCTTGACTGCCCTTGGGCTGCCATCTTGAATCGTACAGCGCACCACCTATAGTTTCAGTTTCAGTTTATTAGTTCTATAAGCATCAATTACATAGCACTTGTAAACACGTGAGGGTCCCAGAGTAGGAACATTAAAAACGGGACCCTCAATTAACAACTACAACAAAAGTAAATTGAAAACAATTGGCAGAATATTAGCTCGTTCGTATTGCGAATAGCAATAAAGGAAAACGAAAATACCCGTGAGACTCATTCGACACGTGCCACTGATAAGTACGTTGAAAGTTTTTTTTTCTAATTTTATTCACCGGTGATAGAAAGTTCAGTGTAATACGCTGCTGCACTTGGCATGGTTTCATTGTCACATAGTTTGTTGTGATCCGCTACAGCTTTTGTTCTGAGTCATCAGCGAAAACGCCGATGTACGGATACGCAAAAGTTTCCGAAGCCACAGGTCGAACTCTCCCAGGTTTTTACAAAATAGCGTCAAAAAGCTAATTCAAAGAAATTACGTGTCGGCGTCGGTGTTGTTGGTTGTGAGCCAAAAATTATCATTTCGTCCAAACAAAAAAAAATGAGAAAGGGGCAATTAAAATAAAGAAGTTCAGTTCAAGTAAGAATTGAACTCGGGGCGTCTGTGTGGCAAGCCAGGATCCTAACCCAGAGCCACGTTATTGCTGGGAGCTGCTTCAGAAAAAAAAACTCTATTATGTCTTGGAGTGCAATAAGTCTTCTTAACGCATTTAACATTGCTGAGGGAGAAGCGTAGAATTGAGCGAGGCGACATAACATGTGGATTGCGCAACTAGTTGGTGTTATACAGAGCCAGCCCTTACAATCATCATCATCATCATCATCATCAGCCTGACTACGTCCACTGCAGAACAAAGACCTCTCTCATGTTCCGCCAGTTAACCCGGTCCTGTGCTTGCTGCTGCCAATGTATACCCGCAAACTTGTTAATCTCATCTGCCCAGCTAACCTTTGTCTCCCCCTAACCCGCTTGCCTTCTCTGAGAATCCAGTTAGTTACACTTAATTACCAGCCGTTACAATACGCCCAGACATATTTATTTATCATCAGCTACAAAAACATGAACAAGGTGAGCAGCTGAGTAGTTCCGCTTCTTTCTTGAAGGACGCGTAGAGGGCACTTCACCGATTCTTGAAATGAAGAATCATGGCGTTGTGGGCACTTAAAAACTGTAGCTGCAGTTGGCATTCGATGATGCTTTCAAATGGCCAATTTTACGCGCACATTCATTCAATTCCTTACGGCACACTTCAGGAATGCACCAAGATAGCGATTGAGAAGGCTATGTACGCGAGGCCCAATGACGCCAGCACGTTTTAGGCTCAAGCATCCTGCAAGTTTTTCCTTAAAAAATATTCTAATGGCAGCGAAATTGTAGCGCGTCGATGAGCATCATTGTAGAGCCATTCCTTAGACGTTCGATATTTCTCACCATCAGCAGCAGCCTGACTGCGCCCACTGCAAGGCAAAGGCCTTTCACATAATCCACCAATCAACCCGGTTTCATGCTTCATGCTGCCACGTTAAACCTGCGAACTTTTTAATCTCATCTGTCCACCTAACTTTCTTTCTCCCCCTAACCCACTTGCCTTCTCTGGGAATCCAGTCAGTTACCCTTAATGACCAGCGGTTATCCTGTCTACGTGCTACGTGCCCGACCCACGTTGATTTCTTAAGTTGATTTCAACGAACGATATCCTCAACCTCAGTTTATTTTCCCTGACACACTCTGCTTTCTTCTTGTATCTTAAGGTTATACTTATCATTTTCCTTTCCATCGCTCACTGCGTCGTCCTCAATTTAAGCTGAACCCTCTTTGTAAACCTCCAGGTTTCTGCTCCGTAGCTAAGTACCGGCAAGATGCAGCTGTTATATACCTTCTTCTTGAGGGTTAGTGGTAGATTACCATTCACAATTTCTGAATGCTTGCTGAATGTGATCCAGCCCTTTCTTCTTATTATAGTTATTTCGCTATCATCGTTCGGCTCCATGGTTACTACCTATCCTAAATAGACATATTCATTTACAACTTCCAGCGTCTTTCCACCTATCGCGAAACACTGTTTTCTGCTGAGACTGTTACGCATTAATTTAGTTTTGTGCATATTAATTTTCAGACCTACTCTTCTGATTTACGTGTCCAGTTCAGTAATCATGAGCTGTAATTCATCCCCTGAGTTATACTCATCGAGGCAATGTCATAGCGAATTGCAGGTTACTAAGATACTGTCCATTAACTCTCATACCAAACTCTTCCCAATATCGGGACATGAAAACCTCCTGTAAACACGCGGTGAATAGCATTGGAGAGATCACGACGCCTTGCATTACACCCTACTTTATTGGCTGTGGATCCGCTGTAGTTTTCTCCCAGTATATTTAAATGTGGGGTTCGTCGATGCCCTGATTCAGTTGTGCCTGCATCGTTGCTGATGTCTTCACTGAGTAAAATGCGTTCACGTAATCTATAAAGGCTATAAAAAGTGTGCATTCCACGCATTACTCTGTCACCTGATTGATAGTGTGAATATAGTCTATTGTGGAGTAACCTGCACAAAACTCTGCTTGATCGTTTGGTTCATTGAGCTTTAATGTCGCCCTAACTCTACTGGCTATTATTTTTGTAAATGGTTTGTAGATTACTGACAGTAAGCTGATCGGCCTGTAATTTATCAAGTCCCCGACGTCTCATCTCTTATGAATTAAAATGTATTGGCGTTCTTCCAAGATTTTGGTACCCTTCCCGTCCGGGCCCATTAAGAAACACTTCGCCTATAAGGTGGCCCATTTTCCTAACAAAATTTCTCCGCCATCTTTCCGCGGGTTAAATGTTATATTATCTTCACAAGCGGTTTTGCCTTTTCGCATTCGTTCTAAGGCTTTCCTATATCGTTACTGGTAGGTTGTTAAAGTCCCCTGGGCTACTATTGCTTCTTACGATATCATCCTGGTTGTTTCGGCTTCTGTACAGGTCTCTGTAGAACTACTCTGCTGCCTCAACACTACTATCTATATTGGTCATCACATTGTCTTCCTTGTCCCTTAATGCATACATCCGATTTTTGCCTGTGCGCAAGTTTGCCTTCGAAGCTTTTATGCTTCTGCCGATTTTTACGGCCTGTTCGATTCTCTCCGCGTTATAACTTCTAACGTCGGCTACCCTACGTCTATTGATCAAGTTTGAAAGCTCCACAAACTATATTTTGTCGGTTGCATTTGATGCTTTCATGGTTTGTCGTCTCTTGGTGAGATTTTTCGTCTCCTGGGATAGCTTGCCAGTGCCTTGTCTACTGACTGTACCTCCGACTTCCATTGCACACTCTTTGATGATACTAGTAAGATCATCGTTCATTGTGTACACGCTAACGTCGGTTACCTCGTTTATAGCCAGGAATCTATTCTGAAGCGAAACTCTGAATTACTGTACTTTCCCTCTCATCACTAGCTCATTAATTGGCTTCTTGCGTATCAGTTTATGCCTTTGCATTTTCAAATATATGTGAATTCGAGCTCTTGCCATTCTAACAGAATAGAAAGTTGGGCGAGTTGGTGCGTCTATGGTCACTGCATCGGATCTTGCCAACTACTTCTACATCCAGTACAATGCTTGGGTGTGCATACAGAATGAAGTCTATTTTATTTTAGTTCCGCCATTAGGACTGCGCCACGTCCACTTACGGTTCGCCGTTTTCTGCAGAAGGTATTCAAGAACCGTAAATTATTACGTTCTGCCAACTCTGTTCCCCTCTGGCATTTATAGAGCTGATGCGATATTATCACTGCATGTTCTCAGGCCTGTTTCTTGCCTACTTTGGCATTAAAGTCACCCGTCAGTATAGTATGCTGTGTTTTTTACTGTGTTTCTTTAAGCGTTCGACCAACTGCTGTTTTTTAAGCGTTCGACCTAACGGTCATCGTGGCTCGATGTAGGCGTGTAGGCCTGTACCACCTTCATCTTTGGGTCCGGACAGGCCACCATTAGAATCTGAACTTGGCTACGTTTAGCGCTAGAAAGCTATCTAATGAAGCTAGTCTATCTGTGCTATTCGAGGAATTAGAGGTTGTTAAATGGAATTTAATAGGGCTCAGCGAAGTTATGAGGACACGTGAAGCTTATAAAGTGCTGAAGAAGGGATGCATTCTATGCTACCATGGATTAGTTGACAGAAGAGAACTAGGAGTGGGATTTCTCATACACAGGAATATCGCTGGAATATAGGGAAATACTATAGCATCAGTGAGAGGGTGGCAAGCATCGTAATTATGTTTAACAAAAAGCATATTTTATACTACATGCAAAAGAGGAATATAGAAACATAACAGCTATAGGAAACAATATTCAGAGGAATCCTTCATCGAAAACAACTTACAAAATGTCATCTCTTCATGAACGCCAGCGCTGTAAGTCGAGGAACCAGCCATCTGTTTTACGGCTACGAGGGTCATGAATGACATTGAAGATATAAAGACCAAAGTCCGAATTGTTTATTTCCGAATGGAATTATTTACAAAAGAAAGAATGCGCGACGCTTAAATCACAGACACTATCGTATTTCTGAGGAGATAAAACAAGAAAAGATGTAATACGTATTGGTAGCAACGTGGAAACGCTGGAATTTTGTGCAGTTCAGAAACCTTACTGTAAAGCACATTTCGCAAAGGCTTGCCCTACAAGTTTAATAGCATAACTGATTCAATCCCCTTCGCACAAAGTAAAATACCTATAGCTTCATTCTGCTATACAGATCTTGAATTTGCCTAATGTATAGAAACACAAACAGAGACAAAATCGACTGGAGAAATGGTGATTGCTAATTACAGTTGTGCTATTAGTAGCACAATGTACTTTTAGTAGCACATTTTGAAGGGTAATTGGGGGTGGGGGGTGATTTTGCACGAACGGTGATTATACGACTACCGACGTTCCCACGCTGTAGTATACATGCGTTGCACATAACTCACCATTGCGATCTCATTGAACTGAACGACGCGAGGTGGTAGTACCATTGCTGTGGACGGCTGAACACCTGATACTTTGCTGTAAATGGCTTAACTCTACAGTCGAGGCAATGGGACTGGATTATTCAGAGCATTCAGGTTTAGGGACGTTATGGCTGGCAAAATGGATCTTAAGCAGGGAGAAATAACCTGGAGGAGGTTATCTGATTTTGGTTAAAGTCAAGGTAGAATTGAAACTTAGTCTTTCACTACGAAGAGTTATCAGTTGATTCCGAGCTGCGGCTAGGTGGAGTGAACCATCACCCAATCAAAACACTGCAACTGGGCGTCTGTTCATTCACACATCAACCGTTAGCATCAAGGTCTCTATCATGTGGAATGTTGTAGACACTAACATGGACACGGACATGCTCAAGCTATTATTAATGAGTAAGTAACTATACCGTATACCGACATATAGCCGTATACAAGTTCCATAGTTTATATGTGCACCGCCATCACGAGTCCTATCAGGCGCTGACTTCACAACCGGCCAGAGGCGGGAAGTCGCAGTGGTTGGAGACCTTGTTGAAATGCAGACCGGGTGGGCAGTCCATCTTCATGCCGAAACCCGCGCTGCAGACGGTATACTTGGTGCAGTCGTCCGGATCAGGTACGTACAGGGGCACCATGCCGTCCGTTGGCGGGCAGCTGGGATCGGAAGGTAGACCTCCGGCCTGGTGCACCCGCACCACCTGCCCCGGACCCCGCCGGTGGTGCACCGCCGAATCCTCCGAATGCACCAGGGGCTACCCCCGATTCCCGGTGGTGGTGGGTTGGCAGGTGGTCCTCCGGGACTCGCGAACATTGCAGCTGACGTCACGGACACGGCCAGGGTCCCGACGAATACGACGAACAAGAGTGTTGGGTAACCCATAGCTGTCGTTTTCTGCGTAGCTTTTGTTTTGACCTGAAGGGATAAAAAGAGAGAGAGAAAATTTTATGACATCACCATCCTTGACATTACCTCACCGATTCTATGCATATGCTATGTCAAAGTTATTTGACAAAGTTTACCGTTTATGCCAAATCACTCGACCATGACGTGCTCACAGTGATGCTGACGCGTAATTGCAAACAAGACCAATTGTGGTTTCATGCTGAAAGTGCTGAAAATACTTACAGTTGCATATGAGTGTACACATCGCGCTTACCTGCTAGAGCTTTTAGACGATGAATGCACAGCACACAGGCTTCTGTATAACGACACTATACCTCGCCCGCTGAGATAGCATTTCAGGTGATCAGTCATGATAACATCCGTAGCTTGCAATTAGCACGCTTCTGTATGTCTTAAAGAATCTGAGCTGGGCCATCTTGAACTGCAGCGCAGTTCAGCAATGAATTCAACGATTCTACTTTTTGAGCTTCCTTTCATTACGTTGCGAGGGTCTATGCACCAGGATTCGAGACCCTCGTTGCGTTCGTTATTTATGCGCAGCTAACTTCAACTTTGAATGCAGGATATAAAAGGTGCTAAAAAGAGTGGTCGGATGTTATTAACTTGCTTGGCAAAGTTCGCTCAATAGAGGTCATCGCAGTTAGACTGCCGAAGCGGTTGTAACGGAACAAGTTATAGCGTTAAATTCGTCACGTTACCATAACTGACGCACTCGTCATACTGTCGGAACCACTTCATGTATACCCACAGCAGTTAGAATCGGGCACAGAATAATTCACCGGGCCACCGACAACTCGGTTTATCACGCAAACTTTTATAAAAACTCGTACATAGTCTCTCATCGGTTTATTATTCTCCGTCGCCCTCTCTCGTCCGCTGTATCAACCAAGACATTCAAAATCGATGAAGATTCTGTTCTTATCCACCCAATGAAGTATAGTTAGAGCTGCTTCTGAAAACGTTTCGCATATCAGGTACACCAGTTTATAGGAGATGCATAACATTTTTGCTGTGTATACTGCTGATTTAACATAGCTAAATCTGTAAGTCCACCGCGAGGTTCTCAGTGCAGAATGGCTAGAAACATTTGAGAATTCGGCTTTACTTCATAAAGCTCTAGCTTTTCAGCAAAAACGCCAAACAAGAAGGCTCTTCGTGAGCACCCTCGAGTTGTCATGGCGGAATTTGACGCCGCCTTGTCTCTTTCTGGAAGCACTACGTCTTTTTTTTTTCTTCCCCGAAAAGAGCGAAGAACTCGTATTTGCACTTTTGCAAGAAGAACTAAATGACTGCTCGGGTAGATATGTTAAAGGCTGAAAAGAGTTTTAACACCAGCATCCCGAGCATCGCTCGCAATTGAGACACTCAAGTTTCAATCGCCGCATAGGTGACACGGGGTTTTCCTAGCTTTGTTTTTTTTTTTTTTTAAGAAAGTGCTGACACCGAAAACCCAGGACCCCCCTCTGTAGACTCGCGAAACAGGGAAGACACGCATTTCTTACCTTTCTGTGCGACAACTGGAATCGACCGGCCAAAAGTCTGGCTGTGGTTGCTCGAGTCCGTGTGGTTGGGAGAAAGGACGCACGCCGGCCTTTTCTACCACCTCGAAGGGTCCACGCGTGCTACCTTTATCGCCAGCGCCCGTCTTCGTAGGTGCAACCCCAGGCAAGAAGAAAGGGTCCGGAGATAACGGACCTGTGACGTCGACATAGCACGTTGCCTTCGCTTCGCGTACGTGATAGCCTTTGACGTGGAAACGAACTCGAGGCTGCAGACCGGATGCTGGTGTGCGGATACCTCGAGGAGAGGTAGTTAAGCCATAAAAACGGGGTAATTGTCTTGTGGTTCTTGCACATACGCGACGAAAATTCCAGAAACAAGACTAGTTGACCCGCATATTATCTTTGCTGCTCCAAAGAACAAAAAAAAGAGCGAAATTACAATGCCGCGTGGTGCAACTTAGTGCCAATGCGTTTTCTGTTTTTTACACGTCGTCACAGCTATGAAACCCTTTGCGACTGGCTGTGTACAGTTCTACATGCGACTTACTTTTCTCGTTTTTGAGCGACGGCTTAAAAAGAACATCAAAAAAAAAAGATGACGACAACTGAGGGACCCACCGAAATGGGGCGCCTTGCTGAGCGATGGCAAGCCACCCTTCTCAGCGAGGCCCTCGAAGACCAGGTGTGGACCGTCCAGCGGGCCAGGGCCGTCGCCGAGGACCTCAAAAGATGATTGATTGATATGTGGGGTTTAACGTCCCAAAACCACTATATTATTATGAGAGACGCCGTAGTGGAGGGCTCCGGAAATTTAGACCACCTGGGGTTCTTTAACGTGCACCCAAATCTGAGACCTCAAAAGATGTTCCTTGAACGGTGTGTCCCTGGCAGCCTAGCCCCGGGCACAGCAGCAACCGTTGGGCAAATAAAGTTTTTTCAACTCCACTCAACTCTCAGCTAATGGTACATTAACCATCTATAATTGCTAAAGTTATTATATAGTCTGTCTCTATGAAATATTTCGCTGCACATCAGCACTTCGGTCAAGGCAGTACGTTGTTTGACGAGGCACTCAATTCGGGGCGTTTCGGCAGGAATTTCGAAATATATATATTTTTTTATGTTTTAGGGGAACGCTTTTTGGCTTACTGATAACCAAAGATGTAATTAGAGTGGCTGATCGAATTCGCTTTATAAAAAAATGCAAAGATAACTGACTGTTCAGTAATTGGATTATTAATTAGGTTGCAATGGCAATTCCTCGCTATAAAATACACTATAATTCATTCTTGCATTTGCACTCGCTTTACGTCCGCCTCGGGGTTACAACAGCGATCGGCTGCTGACCCGAAAAACGTGGATCCGTTCATGGCCACTGTGGTCCCATTTCGATGGAGGCGAAATGTTGGATGCCCCTGTACTACGGTGTGGTGCCAGAGCACGTTAAAGAACCCCGGGTGGTCGAAATTTCCGGAGCCCTCCACTACGGCGTCTCTCATAATCATATGGTGGTTTTGGGACGTTAAACCCCAGATCGTGATATTATTATTATTATTATTATTATTATTATTATTATTATTATTATTATTATTATTATTATTATTATTATTATTATTATTATTATTATTATTATTATTATTATTATTATTATTATTATTATTCACTTTAAATTGAGTCTATAAAACATTGGCATTAAATCTGAGCAAGTTTTACGCATTCATGAACTGTCGGCCATGACGCGCGTCGCGAATAGATAACAAGATGGGCCTGCGCTGCTGCAGGCTTGCGTGATAAAACCGTAGAGGCCGGTGAATCACTTGCGCTCGGTTTATCTCATAATGATCTCAGTCTATCTCAACAAGACGCAATACTCGATTATTGTGTCATATTGAGCTTGCCGAGTATAACAGATGCACCACCATTTGAGTAAATGCGCTACTTGTACCGATCTCTCAAGAGAGTATATACTTGAAGAATTAAAGTGTTCCCAAACACAGTACACTGTGTGCGGGAACGTTTTCACTCACGGAGCGGCGAATCACTGGCCCCAAGAAGGTAGTAATGTTATTTGAGCTTTTTCGTCCCAGAAGCATAATATGATTACGAGATACGCCGTAACGGAGGGCTCCGGAAATTTCGAGTATGTGGCGTTATTTAACGGGCTATGACATCGCACGTACCCCAAGCCTTTAACCTCCATTGAAATGCGACCCCTGGGATCAAACCGCCGACCTTCGCGTCAGCAGCCGAGCACCATAACCATTGCTACACCGTGGCGGATGACTTCAAAATAGTCTTGGCTCCGATTCCGTAGTACCTGATCCAAAGTGGAGGCACGCAAGCAGGGATGCGAGAGAACCTACAATACTAAACACTATGTTGCCTCTTTCAAATCGCTATCAACTGGCTCAGCCTGAGTGAATTGTTCTAAGCATAGGTGACATTCTTACTGAACTTCGTTATAGTCACCGTTGCGCGCTTTGGCACATGGTGGGTGGCGTAACGTTTGTATAGCCGTGCAGTGTGACGTGTGAAAAAATGTTAAAGCAAATTCTTTGGAGCAAGGGCTGCCGCTGGATCCAGCGTTTCGACAAACAGGCTTCTCACCTTCACGACTGCAGCGGCCTTGTAGAAGACAAGCCCGCTTGTCGAAATGTTCGATCCAGCGAAACTTCAGGTTTCAAGCGTTCACTTCAGTATTCCATCTTTCCATGAACTGTTACCTTGTGGCGAAAATGTAAATGTCATGTTTGCCAATTTGCTGCTACGTCTTCACCGTGAAATCGCAATGATGACTGTTACAAGCTGCCACTCAAGCGTCGCCAGCGCGAAGTCGGCGACGGGAATGACAGCAGGTTGGTTCGTTCCGTACGCAAGCAGAGACAGTGAAGAGATCAGAGACGTGGGAAAACAAAACAAACTTTACTCTAGTGATATTGCAGCACACGGGATCTAATACAACACTTCAATACAACCAACAAAATACATCAACACTTGATACAACTAAAAATTATATAACAAACAATAACTCAGCTTACGAGAGAGAACTTATTAAAAACTACACAAACTAACACCAATAGAACGACGGAGGAGAAAGTTCGAAGATATAAACAGGTGAAGGCATACGTGTGATGACCGGCAGCGTTGCGTCCCCGACGATCGGAAGCGAGAAGTCGAAGAGAGTTCTGGCACGACTGCGATGTCGGCTGTGTTGCAACGCTGGTGGCTCCGGGAGGCTAGTGCTTGCAGGTGACTTCGAGCAGGTTGAGCTAACTCGAGGCGAAGCCCCGATGTCTACGTTGCAGACGTTAATATCGCGTCACAACTAGACGAACGGCTAAGTTTA